GTGGGGTTTCTCGGGGGTGGGAGGGAAAGGGGGGCGGGGCGGACAGGGGGCGCCTTGATCGACTGGTCGAGGCCTCGCGATCGACTGACCTGTTGGTGACCACGGGCCTCCACTATCACAGTCAACCTAAGGTACGCAACTCCAGCTCCATAAGCAATGTCAACTGCAGATGGGTCAATGGGAGAAACTCTCCCACAGCTTTATGTTACTCTTCTCATCAAGGGTAGAGTACTGGGGTTGACTGGAGAGCAATCCACACTCAATTTGGTGGGTCCCCACCGGAGCATTGGATCTTGGCGTGTCCATCCTGGCTGTAGCATAGATGCAGCCAAAGAGACAGACTTCTTCCTTCCAGCCAGATGTGAAATCTATTCTAGAATCCACTTCTGATTTAGAAACACACACTCTTATCTAACAAAACATTGGATTTGCCTTGTGTGAACTGTCTTGAATTTAAATGTCAGGTTATTCCTTTATTCTTAGAAGTATTTTGCACATCTTTCGCCAAAAGTTTTTCCTTTCCATTCCAAATTTAAGTGTCAGGTTATTCCTTTAGTCTTAGAAGTATTTTGCACATCGTTCGCCAAAAGTTTTTCCTTTCCATTCCTACTGAAAATTTTAAAGCTTGCTAACCTTCCTATAGAAAAGTTTAAAGATCCAAGAAAGGTCAGCTTCAAACTAGAGAAAATAAGTTTTTATTTGGACACAATGCTGTATTAACTAATTTTGTATTTTCTCCCTCTTTTTTGACAAACTACAGTTTAATTAGCTGTTCACTGTTTCTCCAATTCTTTATATAGCTTTACCAATGTGTTTCATTCAATTTTTGGTCATTTTCTTGTTTTCTTTTTCTTTTGCCTTAACATATCTCCATCAGATCAAAAGATCACCATGTGTCACATTTTTTTTGCCATCTTTGGGTCATGCAATGCTTTCTCTCAAATGAGCCGCTTTGTGCCTCATCTTACACCCAAATACTGTAATATTTTGTCTTTAAGGACTTCCCTATCTTACTTAGAATTGTCTCAAAGGTAATCACTATCGAGTGCTGGGAAAATGCAGTTGCAGACGAGTCAGAAATTTCAGCATGCTTTCTGAAACTCAGATTGACCATAATGAGTTTCTGGGTGCATCTTTACCTGCCAAGCACCACAATTCAATATTATATGCAATTAGTCAGAACCTATGTTAAGCTTTGAAAGCAAATAAACCATGGCCATGATCTTTAATGCAACTGCCTACCTGTGTACACAAGGCTTCAGAGCTGTGCATATCCAAATATCTGTGCTAACCCACCTGTCATCCCTGCTGAAGCTTACAGCAAGAATAACTGATGCAACTGCATCTCTGGGACCAAAAGTAAAAAATGTCAGTATGTTCTTAAAGGCTCAAGTGTTCAATGTAATAGAGTCTAAGAACCATTGCACATACCAAGTGTCAACATGTATCCTTTGGACAACAGCTGTAATGAGTTTTAAAGTGTCTGGGTTGAAATCCAAGAATAAAATGTTGAGAGCACATGCAAAATTCCACACATTCCGGGGAAGTGTGGTGAAGAGGAAAAGCGGGTTTCCTAATCCATTGTTTCTCAATCAGTGGTACGAATACCGGGGGGGGGGGGGAGCATGTCAACATTACTAAAATTTGGAGAAAACTGATTTTTTAATTTAAGTTTTACAGTGCTTTATTATTTTTGTACTTTAGACACCCAGAAATTTCACTGCCTGCCCATGATTAAATTGTTCAAGCAAATGTGTTGCAATGAAATTTCACTGCCCGCCATGATTAAATTGTTCAAGCAAATGTGTTGCAATGGTAGGAAAAATTGCGCATGTCTGAAATTAGGGGTACTTTGGTATTGGGGGTACTTTTTTTTTAAAGGGGTACTTTATAAAAAGGTTGAGAAACACTGTTCTAATCCATAGGCCAACAACATCTAGCGTTCTGAGGTCTTCTAAACCACAATATCTTCTTTTACACACAGAGGGAAGTGCTCCACTCTAACAAAGGAAAATTTTCAGGACCTGAAATCTCTAGGAGCTTCATTTTCATAAAAAACATTGTGGTGACTGAACCACAACTTGCCTGCTCTCCAGACTGTGGTAGCTGGTGTTATAGTAGACAAACTATTTCTAGAACAGAATAGGTTGCTAAGCGCTTTTAAACTTATATTGCCTCCTCTATTGCTATTGTGATAAAACCTTTGAAATGGGAACACAATTCACTCTTCACTTCTGATAAGCTTAGAAATGCACTGTGATAATTAAGCAGCCAAGCAAAATATGTAGAAAACAATCACAATAGCTTTGCTTTTGTATTTTTAAGTGATAAAGAGAATGCAAACTTTCCTAAGTTTCATCCATGTATGCAATAACCTACCAAAAATACCATCCCCAAACTACCACTAGGACCTGAAAAATAAAAGAGCAGTCTTCATAACAGAAGTTGTTTACTTAGGGCTAAAATTAATTTGTCATCTAATTGTCCATGGATTACTAAAAATCCCTCTCAATACCTGGATGAAAAGAATATAATTCCCCAGTCCCCTTTTGACAGCCACCTGCTTTACCACCAAAAAAACTAGCCGATACATTTGGAACTTTCAAATTCCTGGCCTTTAAATAAATACATGTGAGAAGAAGATTCATCTGGCACCTACTTGCCCTTTGTCAGAATAGCCAGAAAGCTGACTTTCATGCATATATAATTTTAGATCAGTCAGATTGATTTCCAAAGACTAATGGAAATATCTATTTGCTTTTCAACATTTTCTTCCACCTACAGCAGTTAGCACATCTTGCCTTTTTTTAGGTTCTGGTCTGTTTATAAAACAGTGTTCAAGCAAGAAACCCTTTGAGATTTGCAAGTCTTACCCAACACATTTTCAAGCAAAAGCAATATCTACAACTCTGATAAAAACGGATATCAATGACTTGTGACTCTTAATTTTCTTAAAAAGACTTCAAGACCAGCAGAAGACTACAGAGGGGGAAAACACAGTAATGAACCCAGTGGAAGCCTGAGAATAAGTACACACGTGCACTTACCATCAGGTTCCTGAAGGGTCCTACATGGCTGCTACTGCCAGCTGGATCCTCCACTTGGTCTAAACAAGAAAGATACAGGAATGAAACACAGGGAAAGTGAAATGGAAACAATGACTAAAGAATAAATGAAAGGTAGAACTAAATATATACGTATATACATAAAAAGAATTGCAAAAGGAGGATGCAAAAGAAAACGGAATGAAAGAAACAGATGGAGAGCAGCTACCTTGCCTACAGTGACAGAAGTCCAAAGGAGAATGGCCACAATTTGCATATTTTGATTTTCAGCGCCACGTTTGGTCAATATCAAATGTTTTTCCGTTTGCTCTCCTGCCCCATCTCGCGTTCTGAAGGCAATAGGGTGGATACACTGGCTGTTTCTCCACCATGATCACTGACAAAGGCACAAGAACTCGATTACTGACTTTCATCCAGATCCTCAGCTGATGATGATCAGTTTAGTTCCATTGATTTCAATGGACCTGGGCTGATTTACATTAGCTTAGGAGCTGTGTCTAGAGATCTGCAAATTGGTCTGTGTCAGATGAACTTCAAAAGTATTTAGCAATAAGTAGCAGTACCCTCTATTTGTCCCTGATGTAAGAGGCTGGCAATATTTTATAGCTCATACTAGGAGAAGAGTCTCAAAACATTCCACCAGTATTTATGCTGATTTGGACTTGAATATCTAAAAAGATGCTGTAAATTGCATCCTCTGATGATGGCTATTTTGGGGGGATATGGAAGCAGGCACATAGATGCCAAAGGGGATGGCAGAAAATCAAACTCCATCTTTTCCTCATTGCTGCAGATAAGTAAATGTTACCAGCTTTGCCAACGTGCTGCTGTCTAAAAGTAAAATAATAAGGCTTCAATGGGATGCAGTGTGCCATAACAAAATAAGTGAATCTCATACTTAATTCTTCTGACTCAAACAGTGCTCTGAGCATTGGTAAGTGCAGAACACACTTCTCTACACCAAGAACTAGGGATGTTAACTAGCGGTTAATTTACTAGTTGAGTAGTCGATGGAATTTCCATCGAGTACTCAACTAGTTGATGTACATTTCAAAGGATGAATACAGAAATGCCTAAGAGCCCCGTGGTGGGTCTTGTACATTTCAAAGGAGAAATGCAGAACTCTGCAAGCAGCCCGGGGCCAGCCGGAAGTCCCACTGACTCCGGGCTGCATGAAGGCCAGCTCTGAAATGTACAAGATTCCTCAGCTGACCGCAGGTTCCACGGGCATTTCCCTAGAATCCGGGGTCAGCTGGGGGACTCCCCAGCTGATCCCAAGTTCCGCAGAAAAGCCGCATGAAGCCCAGGATCAGCTGAGAAATCCCCAGTTGACCCCAGGCTCTACACAGTGCTCCTACTTTGAAATTCCGAGGCGATGTTTCAAAGGAGCAGTGCCGCACAGCTAATCCGGGCTCAGCATTTCAAAGTGACAGCACCACACAGCTGAGCCCGGATCAGCTGTGTGGTGCTGCTCCTTTGAAATGCCACATACAGCTGATCCAGGCTCAGCTGTGCAGCGCTGCTGCTTTGAAATGCTGAGACGGCATTTCAAAGGGGCAGCACCGCACAGCTGAGCTGTGGATCAGCAGTGCGGAGCTGCCTCTTTGAAGTACTCCATCTTTTCTCCCCTTTGCTGCCTCTATCAGCTAGAGGAAGCGAGGAAGGGGGGAAATCAACTAGTTGACTGACTATCTGATAAGCATCCCACAGCTAGAGGAAGCAAGGAAGGGGGGAAATCGACTAGTTGACTGACTATCTGATAAGCATCCCTACCAGGAACCAGGATAATATAAAAAGACCCCAAAAAACCCCACCCCACACACCCTGGTAATACAAGATAAAAAAAAATCCCTGAAAAACTTTGAAACCAGCACATCTAATTGCAACTGGCTGTGTGTAGATACACACAACTAGAAAAACATTGTACACATATGTGCTTCTAATGATGCACACAATAAATGGCTACTGAAAAATCCAGCCATCCCTGAAAACCAAGGGAGAAGCTACTTTATGTGAAAAGGAACCTCGAGGAGAAATGACGACTATGGCCAAAGGGAAGAATTCACATTTCAGTTCACATACTCGACTACACCATGCTCAGTTTTCAATGTAAGATATTTATACTGTAAGTAACTGCAGACTGGACAGAAGAGGGGGGAATTTACTATTTGTAAATACTATGTTTCAAACTTCGTGTAAGTAGATATGGTAGGGATAACCTGCTATCCCCCACCCTAATTTACTCCCATATGAATTGGTCACCCTTCTCCATACACACTAGAGAAGTATAAAATACAGGTGAGAACATGCTACAGTGCCAACTTCCACATTTTTAAAATTTTTGTGTAAACTGTAAGAAAGTTGCAAAGCATAACTATCTAGAATAGGGCCCTATGTGTTTAATAACTCAGGCAGACGGAATGGGGTAAAATTAAAATGATTACATGGAGAAACATAATAGCAGGAATCTGGCTCCTAGTCAGTTCTCCTCTGAATGCGGAAGGGCCTAAATAGCAGCTATGGTGCAGGATGAGGGAGGAAAACTGATTTATTGCCAAGAAAGAAAGAGGGAAAAAAATTCAACAGATGACAAAATGCCAGTTTGCAAAGATGCGAACACTTTAATACCATTTCCATCAACATGCATTTTCTTTTTGTTAACACTTTAAGAGTCTTGGCATTAGTTTTTTAAAACATCTTTAACATTACCCATATAACACCCCATGAAGAAATCCTGTTTATACAGCCTTTTATTACCATCACAACACTTGCTCTCAACACTGAAACACTGCCGGAAAATTTTCAACTTCATGGAAATTTTGTGTATACTGTTCTCCACGTTATGAGTGGATTTTTGTATAACTGCGAGGACTACTAAAACCTGCTAACCCTCTTTCCTGATTCAACACTCAAGCCACAAGATTCTGCAGGTTGATACATTTAAAGCTTTAATCAGTAAGTTTTAACAAATTGCAGGTGTACTTTTTTTATTTTATAAAAAAGGCTACATGTATAAATAATCTGCAATGTTTTACATCTATCATCACAGGAAAATATTTTTGATAATTTAAGAACAATTCACATAAATGTAGCATCCAAGATCAAATATACAATGTTGCACCCACTTCTCAGTTCTGTTTAAAAGAAAATAAACCCCAAACAAACATGCTCTGAGAAGTTGTCCAGAATTTCCTGTGCCCTGATGTAGGCCAGGTGATCCCACCCTACCATTTTGCCACACAGCAATTAGAGATCAGGTGCTAATTTACTCTGCTAAAAATTAGAAGCTACATGGCAAATGCTGAGAAAAAAAGAGGAGAGGGAAAATAGTGACATGGATAATGGGCAGAAAAAGATAAATAACGCTCCTAGATTAAGCAAAATAGAAAAAAAAAAATCTGCAAAAAAATCTATAAACACTTTTTTATATTAGGTCATTAGTGCTGAATATTGCTCATTTGCTCCTAGATTAAGCAAAATAGAAAAATTAAAAAAAAATCTGCAAAAAATCTATAAACACTTTTTTATATGAGGTCATTAGTGCTGAATATTGCTCATTCAGCTGTACAGACATTACAACAACATGCCAAAAACTTTTTCCCCGCTTGCATTAAGTTATTATATAGAGATTTATTTAAATCAGGGGGCAAGTTTCTTGAGAAGATGAACCATTCTAAAGTATATTTTTGGAAATTCATGTATAAACTACACACAAATTCTTCCGCTGAGTTGGGTGTCCCATATGAATGCAAAAGCTTCCACATTATAAAAGAAAAACTTGAAACTCAAGAGAAATAATT